AAGACAGTCGTTCCTTGGTATCCAAAACGGATACACGATACTCATAAGTCGTTACACTTTCTGAGTGGCCCCACCTGGAAGGACATAATTAGGCTTAGTGCACGTGCAGAGTCTAACAGGGCCGGCGCAGGAATCGGTGGCTTTCACAGCTGACTTGCGTTTTGAACTATTCAGTTATTTATGGAACCTTGTAGTAGTTGGTATCGCGTTGATAACTTTCTTTTTTACGTCTGCTGTAAATTGTATTCGCTGTTTGTATTTAAATAACTATTTATAAATAGACACATAATTTACATTAACAACTATTAGTTGGGGGGAAAAGTGAAGTAAAATGACAAAGGAGAAAAGAAACAGATGGGAATCATTTCAAATGTGGTTTGACAGTGATCCCGAAGGTGTCAGGGACATACGTATTAAAGGAAATGACCTGTTCTGTACTGTGTGTGAACGCATTATAAATTCTTGTTACAAAACTAAAGTGACAAGACATTTGAAGAGCCATGCCTCGTCCAGCGCTATGAACTTACAGACGCCTTTCTTTCAAACAATATTCCATTAAACACAAGTTCCGTAATTCCGTAAATTGGAATCACATGGACTATCCCTAAATGAACAATTTGATATAATGGATGATGTACAAAAAAATATATATGATACCAATAATATATTACTGCCCAGTCAGCAGTACGATAAAAGAAAAAATGCAAAGAGTGTTGAAAAAAAATCCATGATACACCATTTTGGAAAACATATGTAAAGTTTGATCTGGTACATATCAGGAGTTACCAGCAAATATATTAATATATAGTTCATGCCTCAACAATATCTCATATTGTCCGTTGTCAACAGTAGACATTGAACGATCATTTTCCCTACACAAGTTATTAAGTGATAAACGTCGGCGTTTCACTAAAAAAAATTTAAAAAAGCACGTCGTAATATGTTTTAACTCCTCCCTTGTTTCAACACTAAGGTATATCGGGTAGGTGGTGTCATTTAAATTTTTATAGGTGTTTTATCCTCTACTTCGCCTTGCTTTTTGGTAATAGCACTATGTTGCGACATATTTTCTGTAAACATATTAATATTTTCATTCGTATTCTGACTACGGTCCTGTTAAACACCGCGCCGCACTAAGTCTAGTCACATTAAAGTAAGATCAGTCTTATCATCATATTTTTATAAATGTTACTTCTACCTTAGCAGCCGAGCCCACGTCTGAACCCCCAGACCAGATATGTGGTGGAAGTGTCAGTCCTCCAGACGATATTGATATTTCGTACTAAAACATGATCGTCGTCGAGTATATTAATCAGCACTTTCTGGCTCCGGAAGCGACATAAACTCAGCAGTTCCAAACTCAGAACTCCCAGAACTTGTACAAACACTGGCCGCCGTCCCGTCAAATCACCGCTAAGCCCTAAATATTTATTATTATGACGGTAATCCCTCATGTTTTGGCAGCAAATACTGAATTTAATATAGATAGCCGGCCGGGCATGGGGTCCATAGTTTCCCGGGGATCTCACGGTGCGCTGGAGCGGTCTGCGAGCGAGCAGTGTTTACAGAAGGACGACACGCCGCCGCCCCAATGTTGACCAGGGCTCCAATATCCCGGCCCGCGGGTCGCAACACGTGACTCCCGCTGCACACACTGTTTCAGATCTCTTCGCCAACTTTGATCGTCTGCTGGAAGTTATATTGTGCGCGGCGGGCTCTATTATTGGCCGGCGTTGTGCCGGTCATGTCGCACAACGGGTTATTTATAGCCGCTAATTGACAGTTGTGAGAATTGGCCAATCGAGGGTTTGTTTATTCCTCTTTTGGAAGGGCGGAGTGTTCTAATCATTTCAGATATAATCCTATGCATTTTGTAAATTGCTTATCTTGTTGCCAAGACCAAAAACTAAAGCTTTTTTAAACGTTGTCCGCTAATAAAACACTTTCATACTTCCATTACTTGCACATTTTGCGGCTGATGCCGCGTGATTCAGAGGCGAGCTATGCCATTCACTTGCGGTGCATTTTATTAGAGGATCCGCTGGGGTCTGTGGGTCAAAAACTGCATCATATTTCATCTAACAGGTGCTGTGACTATCACTGACATATTACACGAGGGGTGCATTTAATTAATTCCCGTTTTGTCTCAATTCTGTATCAAGCTACACCAAATATTGATTTATAGTGATATATAAATATTTATGTCCGCAGGATGTATGTAGAGGTGGTTGGGTTGTTTAAACTGTATGGAATATCAGCTTTGTCAAATATTTAAAGACCTTAAATAGTGGTGGAGTAATGGCTACATTAGTAACAATTAACACGGAATCCTAAACATCTCATAATCTGAACACGAAAGGAGATTTTGTGGACACTATACAGCGTGTTTCAGGATTAAGTCGACAAACTTTAAGGAGATATTCCTCATAAAAGAATTAGAAAAAAATCAAGTATAAATTTTTTTCCAGAGACGCTTCATTTTCGAAATATATAAAAGATTTAAAAAAGTTCGAAATTTTTAAATAACTTCTAAATTCTATTTCAGTCAAATTTGGCATGACACATCTTCTTATAAGATACCATTTTTCCATAGAAGTCCCGCAAGTAACCAGTGGCGGAGTTATGGGGACTGAGACTCATTAAATTATAAAAAAAATTAATACAGCCCTACTGAAAATAAAAAATTATGCTGTTTTTAGATAGAACAGTTTGTTATTGACGAAAAGTGTACATTCACTTTTTTCCTAACTCTTATAGTTTCATGGCAAAATTGATTTTTCAGAAGGGTGCTTCTGGATTCTGTCGATAAACTTTAGGAAGACGTTCCTCATAAAACCTAAAAAATTATAATAAAAATATAAGCAACATTTAGTCGAGGGGGAATTTTAAACCAAAGAAACAACCATATTTGGTCCTACGAGAATCCACGGGCGGTAAGGGAACATACCTAGTTTTCAGCATGAATTCCAATGTAACGTATAGTTGGAAGTTGGACAACACTATAGTTGGTCCCTACGTCCCACTATAATTCATTTGGACTTAGGTATAGACAAAATTAAATAGCGCCTCGTAGAAAAAAAGATAAAAAAACTAAAAATAGCGTTTTAAAGCTTAAGTGGAACAGATTAAGGGAAAAATAATCACATTTCACCAGCACCCCATTTACACCCTCAAAATTGATCTCCAAAATTATAATTTTGGAAAAAAATTTCCATTTTTTGCTATCGTTTGAAAAAAAAAAATTTTATGATACAAAACATTTTTTAATAGTTTTTGAGATGAGGAATAAGGATCCATTGTTTAAATTGAGCTAAAAAAATTTAGAACCCTTAAATTTACGAATATTTCAGTTTATGTTTTTAGCTCTGATTTCCGCTCTTCGATTTGCTTGAAATTTGGAAAGTAGGTGGGGAATAACTCAAGAAACAAAATACACCCATGCTGATATATATGTTTACCCTGGGGGTGGTTTCTACCCCTTTGTAGAGGTTGAAAATAAATTTTGTCATAATAATCCCTGGAATCGATAGAGCAACTAATTTGAAGCAAAAAATGTATCATACAATTTTTTTGATAAACCAATATTTTTTGAGTTATTTGCGATTGAAAACTCAAATATTCAATTGAAAAATTGGGTTTTCAATCGCAAATAACTCAAAAAGTATTGGTTTATCAAAAAAATTGTATGATACATTTTTTGCTTCAAATTAGTTGCTCTATCGATTTCCGGGATTATTTTGGTAAAATTTATTTTCAACCCCTACAAAGGGGTAAAAACCACCCCAGGGTAAAAATACAAATCAGCATAGGATGTATTTTGTTTCTTGAGCTATTCTCGACCTACTTTGCAAATCAGTCCCCATAACTCCGCCACTGGTTGCTTGCGGGACTTCTATTTCTATGGAAAAATGGTATCTTATAAGAAGATGTGTCATGCCAAATTTGGCTTAAATAGCCTTCTTCATTTAGAAGTTATTTAAAAAAAAAAGAATTTTTTTAAAAATCTTTAACGCCCTATATTTCGAAAATGAAGCGTCTCTGGAAAAAAAATTATACTTGATTTTTTTCTTATTTTTTTTATGAGGAATATCTCCTTAAAGTTTATCGACTTAATCCTGAAACACCCTGTATATAAATTCAAGATGAATAGCCATCTTTTATCCCTTTCCATCAACCAGAAATATCTTCCAAGAAACGGTGCGTAACATCAAAGAATATATCGCGGAACATCTCGGTTATGTACAGCTCTCGCCCCCGATTATGCCCTGCACAGTCACCCTCGTACAAATATATCACAGTTAAAAAGCCGTAAGGGTGGAGATGTGCAAAGGCAGAGGCGTCACGCGTGCACAGATCACGATCTGCCCACTTTCATATTCCCCCAGCGTCGCATGCTACAGGTGCAAGGGACCATATAATTGATCATCGCTCCATACACAGGGCGGCTAACCATATTTTGATATTTTACGTAACAAAAAGTGAAAAATCCAAGTCTTTGTGGAAGTTGTACTCGAGTTAAAAATTTTGATAGATATGACTTTTATGGTCATAAGTGGAGTTGTGATTTACCTTGTAGGATTATTTATTCTATTAAAACACTCATGTGCAATGTCGCGGGTACTGCGGCTTAGGTTTACCTCGACAAGGTATAAAATGATTATCCTGGCTATTTAAGATTTTTTCATCCGTGTCTGGTGTCCCGTAGTCTTTAAACACCGTTTTTTTAAGTTTGGATGACTACAAATCAGAATAATTCCGTCATTTTATGAGTGTAACACTAAAAAATCTCTTTTAATAAAAATATTTATGTATAAGAGAATAACACCCGCCCTTTACAGCAGGCTTGTTCGTCATGAGTCAACAGTATGTAACTTACACTTATAAGTTGGAATTTAATGACGTGTCAGTGTCAGTTTAATGTTATTGTATTAGTGTTAGCCTATTAAATAATATGTCTACATGTAATTTTCTTGAGCATTTTGTTGTTGGGTTGGTTCCAGACTCTTCATCAAAAAATGCCTGGGCTGCTCAGAAAGGGTATCACCAGAAGAACTAGTAATGCGAGCCAGTGACAACATATTCCACCTGCGGTGTTTCGTTTGTGTCGTATGTGGAATCCGCCTTCAGAAGGGCGATCTTTACGTCATTAAGCAAGGACAGCTTTTCTGCAGGATAGACTACGAGAAAGAAGTAGAGATGATGCAGGGGTTTGGATATGGTAAGCGCCAAAAATAGACTACAAATTGCACCACATGGCAAGCTGGATCTGTTTTGGTTGTAACTATAAAACAGAATTATCTCCTACATATCTGGCATTTAAATTCGACAATCTTAGATGATTAGACGTTCTATTACAGGCGAATTCATTTGCGATGACCTTCTACAAACTAGTCGATCCCACGATGGTCGTAGGGGTCCTAAGAGACCGCGGACGATTCTGACGACCCAACAAAGAAGGGCCTTCAAAGCTTCTTTTGAGGTCAGCCCGAAACCTTGTCGAAAAGTTCGAGAAACCCTAGCCAAGGATACGGGTTTAAGCGTCCGAATAGTTCAGGTAAGTTCAAAGGAAAGTCGCATTTTCTTGTAAAAAGTTATTTAGTAAATTTTGTTTCTTGTACCGCGTGGGTCAATTTCGATACTTTCGACGGATTTCCTGTATTTCCCCAAAATTGTGGAAATTGGCCCACCTTGTACATACATTTTTTTTGTGACAAAAAACATCTGAGGCATATTAAAATATCCACTTCGGCAGACATTCGGATGAGAAATATTTCACCATTCTCTCGCGTTTTCCACTCGCGTAACATTATATATTATTACGTCCGAGTCGACACAAAATTAAAAAATATCGCAGCTTCCTCTTGGTCCCGCTAGTCCCCTCAAAGAGCTCATAAAGACGCACAGAGAGGTACTTCGCTCGGAACTAATTAGATCACTTCCGACAGGTCTGGTTTCAAAACCAACGCGCTAAAATGAAGAAGATGCAAAAGAAAGCGAGGCAGGATAACAAAGCGCCCAAGGATCCGGAAAATGATGAGAAGAAATTGAATGTCAAAGAGGAGGAACAAAGTACGTATAATCGCTCATTGTCCCTGATTGTTTAATAATTAGCTCGTGTTTTGTTTTGATGAAACGTGGCTGTTTCGATTATATCGGAAATTAGAAGAAGTCGGAAATATAAATTAGTAGAAAATGCAGGTTTATGGTCAGCTATTGCTTCAAATTTTATAAAAAAAAAAAAACAGAAAACTTCATTCGTTTGTCGAAATTGTTAGCATATTTTTACTTATCTACTGTTAAATACATAACTTTTATGCTGAGTGATTTTTAAAAAAACGCCGGGACAGGTCGACTTTGTTCTCGAGAGAGGCGTCTTTTACAGGGTGACTCAGAAAAGCTGGACGGCCAATAAATTTGTTTTTTTTCTTATGGAACACTGTATATTTTTCATATTAGGATAAAGTTTTCTCTTACGAATGCAATGATGGGTTTTTCTCAAATAACAAGCGAGATATTTTATTTATAAAATGACATTTATTTAAAAAATTGTTAAATGTCATTTTTCATAAAAGAAATTGTACTTGGAAACGAAACAAATGCAATTAACGGAAAAAAAACAAATAAGTTTGCAAGTTTAGCAATAAAAATTAGGGATCTATTTGTTGGCAGTCGGGTCACTGATAAAAATGATTAATATCGTTTTTTGGCCATTGCTTAGAAACAAAAACAACACGTTATTGTACCTTATAAAACTTTATTTATCATTGAATTTTTTGGAGCTTAGAAGGAATGGCACATTTAACGGAACGTGAAAGAATAGAAAGAATGATGGTTGGAAATGGCGATAAGCTACGAACCCATGCGGAAGCATGTGAGCTATTTAATCAAACACATGCTGACAGACCACCAATTGCACGATCTACGGTGAGTAAATTGGTCGCCAAGTTTAGAGAGACTGGATGTGTAAGAGATAAGACAAGACAATGTCGACCTCAAATCGCTGAAGAAACCAAGTTAAATGTATTGCTGGAAATTGAAGAAAATCCCCATCAGTTAACAAGACAACTAGCCCTAAACAGCAATGTGGACCAACCATATGTTGTAAAGTTGCTTCGTACAGAAAAGTATCATGGATATAAAGTCCAGCTGATACACGAATTAAATGAGGATGACCCAGACCGCCGGTTGCACTTTTGTGAACAATTAATGTTACGGTGTGATGAGAATCCAAACTTTCTAAGCAACATATTTTTTTCTGACGCGGCCACATTCTGTTGAAATGGCTCAGTACATCGCCATAATTGTAGGTATTGGTCAAATGACAATCCCCATTGGGCGCAAGAATTCCATAGTCAGCGTAAAGGAAAATTAAATGTATGGGTGTAACTTTTTTTAAGAAAATCTCACTGCTGCCAGATATTTGGATTTTCTGTGTTTTGTTGGTGCTGGCTGTAGCAGTTGTTTTCCCCAACGCTGCAGCCGGCGATATACCCCACGAAAATAATTTGGTTCCAACAAAATGGAGCTTCACCTCGCTTTAGCTTAGAAGTTCGGCAATATCTTGATGGTACATTTCCTGAAATATGGATAGGGCGGAGAGGACCTCTTGAGTGGCCCTCGCGTTTCCCAGACTTGACTCCTCCGGATTTTTTTATGGGGTTATTTAAAATCTAGGGTATACTTCAATCGACCGAACAATTTAACAGACTTACAACTGAGAATTCGTGCTGAAATGGAAAGAATCAGCCAAGAAATTATTGAGCGTAGTAGTGTGCAAAGTGTTTACACTCGCACGAGCCAGTGCCAAATTGTTGGTTCGTCAAATTTCGTTAATTATTTGGACTTGTTTCGTTTCCAAGTATAATTTCTTTTATGAAAAATGACATTAAATAATTTCTTGAAATAAATGTCATTTTCTCGCAATATCTCGCTTGTCATTTGAGATAGACCCATCAAACCATACATCACTGTATTCGTAAGAGAAAGCTTTATCAGAATATGAAGAAATATCTAGGTCACCGAGAACAAAATCGACCTGTCGCGACGTTTTTTTTAAAAATCGCTCAATATAAAAGTCACGAATTTTGTTCTAATTTTGTTTTTGTTTTGTAAGGTCCCCGATCGACCCCGTTCTTCAACGACAGCTGCAGCGACGCAGAGACTACCACCGACGAAACCATACTCCAGAGTGCGAGCAATCCACATTTCTTGCACATCAAAGAGGAACTTGAGAACGACAACCCCTTCTTCAAAAGCAATAACCTGCCAATGCACGCTTTTACAGGTAAATCCATTGTTATTAGTTCGGCTACCTTGATATAATTAATGTTATATGAGCCCTTGTCGATAGTTCCGCTCGTTTAATCCTGGGACTCATGTGGAAGTGCCAGAATTTGTTATACATATTTTCGTAAATTGTTCTTCTCGAATGATTTCAAACAGAAAAAGCCTTAAAAAATTATTCAGCAATATAAATTTCATGATTTAATTCTTTTTTCCTTTCTCAGTTTAAAAAAATTATCTCAAAAAATGTTATTTGTTTCTATTTTTTTATTCTTCTTTTTGTTTTCTGACAAATCTAATTTGATTTGATGACCCACAAAATATCCTGATAACAGCGTGGATATTAACATATCCAATGCGTGCGTTAGCAATATCTTCCTGCTTGCAGGAAACGTTCTGTATCGCCCATATTTAGCGACGCCTTTATCTTAGCAGGACTAGAAGTAAACAAAAGGCGGGAAGAAGGGTACATGCGGATATCGTTTCCTACAAGTTTAGACTCCGGCCAACCGGGGATGTTCTTGAACCCCCCCGTCGCCCACCAGAACCCCCCTCAGGCGGCGTCGGGACTCAACCCTATCGATCGCCTCTACTCCATGCAGAACTCTTATTTCTGCGGTGACGAGCAAATGGAACCTTGAATTGGAACTCCCGAATAAACGGCCGATATGGGAGTGAATAGGCAACCGATATTTCTATACTTTCTTATTTTTCCAAAATTGAGTCGTTAATATTTCGAGTCAGATCTGTATAGTCGTCAAATAGTTTCAGTTTAAAAGTCTTCGGCAAGCTACATATTGTACTCAATATGTATAATATAGTCTAAAAATAATCAGAGAATGACGCACCAGAGCAAAATTACAGGTGAAAATATCAACTATTCAGTTTTTTACTTGATAATATTTTTGTTTTGATTTCATCATCTTTATTGTTACTCTGGTCTGCATAAACTTGAATGTTACTGCGACCTATCCTAAATAAACTTTTTTCGAAACTAAATATTAAGGGAAATATAATCCTTTGAAGGAGGATGGTATACAGGGTGTTTTATTAAGTACTTGTAGAAACTTTAATGCGTGAATCTTTGACTAATTTTAAGATAAAAAGTTCATATGAATATGAAAAAGTTTTTGTTTGGTATTTTGATTATATTTTTGTTCAACTACATGGCAATTTGACGAAATTCGGGAAACTGTATTGATGACGAGAAACTCAAGTATACGTACACTGTTGTAACTGGATTTAAATAACCATAACTTTTTTGTATCGCACTGTATGTTATTTTTACTAATCATACCTATTCGTATTCTCTATTCAATTTTATGTAGAAAAGGTAGGTACTGTTAGTATTTGTCGCGCAGCCGTTTTGTGAAAAGACGGGATTAAATTTAAACCTTGGAATTTTGTTGAATCATTAAGAAAGACAACTGAAAAAATATGTTTTTATTGGTTGCATTGCGATGTGACAAACTTAGATCATTTACAAAACTAAGACTAAACTACTTCTACAAATAAGTTATTAACATTTACAATCATTGCTGAAACAAAAATTTTTTTGGACGCTCTTTATCTCAAGAACCAAGCCGTTGCAAGATTCACGCTCTAAAGTTTGTACGAGTACTTAATAAACACCCTGTATATCATGTTTTTCGCCATTTGTTAAAAATCCTTCGAGATATCTTATTCATATTTTAAACTTTTATTATCCAGTCTTAAGTAAGGGGTAGTTTTGGGGGATGATTGTCGGTACTTGTGCATCAACTTTTTTATGCTCCATTTAAAAAAATGTTTCCAAAAATATCGATCTGTAGAATATTAGAGAAAAAACTTATCTACACTTATTGAATTTTGATAAATCGACTTCTTTTCGAGGAATTCAAATTTACATGCATATGTAACGCAGAATGACACGAAGATAAAAAAATTGTGAATAAAATAAAAATAAAATTACCCCTTATGTTATTTGTGTGATTTGTATAACAGTATATGCTCTAAGTTTAAAATATAAATAATATCTCGGAAGGCCCTTAAGATATTGCAAAAAATATTTATCATTCCTTTAAAAAATGTATCTCCTCATTCATTTTCCATTCTAAAAAGTTTATACACAAAGAAATTTTTATTTTTTGTGTATTTTCCATCTTGAAAATACCTGACAATTTAGAACCGTATACGTATGTTATAGTCTGTTGAATTCCGATGAATAAATTTGACATATTTGAAACAATTGATTTGTTGAAGGTTGGCATATTTTCGGGAACTCTTCTCTCGATTATCTCTTCAATGTACCTATGATAAATATATCATGTTTCACTAATATTTAAATAATATTTTTCTAAGTCAGTACATAGACAGGGGAAGGGGATCAACATATTGGACAGCCAGGTCACAAGATCTTGATCTCCTTGATAATTTTTTATGGGGTTACGTCAAAGTACTGTTTATGATAATAAATTCTCTCTAAGACGAAGGTACTTGGTACATCTCGCAACAAGGAGACTCACTCCAAATAATTTTATCAGTTTTTTATAACACGTTTCTTTTTTGTTTTAATGCGTGGAAAGGTACGATATGTTTGAGGATGAAGACAAAAAGTCACTCCAGATATTCCCGACTTCGTGGCAATGTCTTAAATATTAGTGGAACTTATTAGTCGCCCTGTTTTATATATTTATCATCATGGCTTTGATATCAACGTCACAAGCCATCCAATGGCATCTAATAAGTACAATTTAAAAATACGAACGTTTTGTAAGGAGTTAATTGTTTCAAAAATGTTCTACTTGTCACAACTTTGTACAACATAATAATTTAATCAAAAAAAATACATACTAATTGCAGAAATTTCACGATTCTGATTAATTACAATTTTTTGTTAATGTGGAAAATGCTGTTAATTTCCAATATCACAATTCGATTTTAGTTTGTAAGTTAATGCAAGTAATTTTTACTTTGTGATTTGACAAGCCAGGACATGTTATTTTAATGTAAATATGCTAATCGTGTATTATATCTAGCATTTGTATATCAGTGTTTATTATGTTATATGTTAAACGTTTAATAAATTTTACATTTTGGTTGTGATTTTTTTCTGTAAATTAAACGAAGAATATAAAAGAGCATTGTAATAATTTCAACATGGTATAGTCTTTCCGATCTCAATCGAAAAACCAAGAGGTTGGCAGTTTGTAAATAAAATTGTATATATAAAATTCCGTTCCGAGATCTTCATTTGAAGTTGTTTGCATTGTCATCTAGAAGATAAACTACTATATTTTGTTATAAAAACTCCTTTGTAGAAAGGCAGCACAGTCTTTACTTTTGTGTTTGTTTCAAAGGTTCCCATGTGTCTAATTTTATTTTTAAATTAGTCTGAATAAATCTGCCAAAAATTAAACTTACGCTCTCAATGCCTTCTAGTAACGATGTTGAAAACATTAACATGTCATCTATATAGAATAAGTATCTATGATGTAAACTTGATAGAACATGACTCATGGTTTGGAACGTCAAAGAAGCATTTTTCAGCCTAAAAGGCATTCTGAGAAACTCATAATATTTATTATCTGAAGAGAATGCTGTTTTCTCAATATCTTTTGAATCCATTTCTATTAAATGATACTCATTGACTAAACCTAAGGTAAAATGGCCCTGTCCTAATTTGTCCTTAAACGTTAATTATGTTGGGACTGGTTTAATATACCCCAATACATAAAACTCGGGAATTTTTATTAAAATTTATCAATATCTCACGAATCATCGACTGTTCAAACTTTAAAATTCACTTTTCTCGAATCCAGCATTTCGTGACAAACCTCCTGTTCCTCCTGCGGCCTTCATTTGTTAAGAAGATAGTTTTTTATTTGAAAATTTCTGGAAAAGTTACATTTTCACAAAATTCCCTGTTACTAAGTATCCAGACAGACAGTGAATATATCTACAAGTGCACAGGTAGAGATAACGGTGCTTTCGGGACACTTGTTGCAACAATACATCAACAGCCGCGATAAGATAAGGAAAATACTGTGAGAGCCGCTCCTTCAGCCGCAGGTGTCTTCCGGGACGAGGGAACCAACACCTGAATACTTACCCATTGTATCCCAATAAAAATTAAACTGTTGTTTCTCTACTTGATAGGATTAGTAGGTGACGAAAACGGGTAAATATTTTAGTTGCTAATCAAATATCGGCGATAATGTTAATGAGTCGGCAGTTGATAGACCCAGAGAAATTGGATAATGATAATACCACATTTGTTTTTCAACAGGTTTTTGTATTGAACAATACGAGGTGTTCAGGAAAAGAGAGAGTGCCGCTCGACAACAGATTCCTGGAATCAACAGTACGTCACATTGCAGGTAGTTACTTATTATAGAAAATTGCAAAATTTTAGACAATTTATAAGTAATTCTAGACGTTACTAACAATTACAAGCATTGGCACAAATATTGCACTAAATTGTTTTTTGCTATTAACAAACTTAATGACATATTTCAACTGCATAAATTATATTTTAATTTAGTCATTTTTACTTTTCCAATTTTGTGTAGTTTTGTGTAGCTTTAGCTGCAACGCCATTTCCATAAATTTCACCATATTTAAAGAAAATAAAACTAATGATAAATCCGCAGGAGAAAAAGGTGCAATTTTTTTGCGTGACAGGAATCATCTCCTTACATTTTCACACTTTTTTATCAGGGTCTACTAACAGTAAATGCCAAGATTTGTAGAAAATGATAGAATATTTGCATAAAGGTGCAATATTCAATTGCAAAAATTGAAGACAATTACATTTACAAAAACCGACGAAAATACAAGACTATTTTTTTCACCTGTAAATATTTTTCTATTGGTTCACGTCAATGAAATATGTATTTTTACTATCATTGCCATTACTGTCTTTTTTCCACGACGACAGATTACGTAAAAAAAATCTCGACGTGTTTTTTGTTCGTAACGATCAATCGATTTTGTCGGCCGCTATTATGCCGCCGAAATATGACAAAAATCCCGACAAAAAAGACTCGTGCGCCCTATATAGGGCTAGGTGCTCGTCGGGCATTCAATACATGCATACTAATCTAGGTTTTAATGCGAGGGGTACCAAAGGGGTGGCCGATTTCAGCATTCTCCCTATACAGGATGACCCTAATTGCAAAACCGGAAATCATTATAACTGTCGTTGTACCAACCATGTATTATTATTTATGAAATTATTTTGAATGTGGTGGTGAAAACTACAAAGATAACAACTGAAATAAAAGTCCAAGGTAAAAATTCTTGTACACTGTGATACAATCGATACAATAGACTTATGTCAGATCATTCATCTAACTGTATTTTTTTTCTCCTCCCGTGTATCTATCTATTGGTGGCCTGCCAATGGAATAGGTTCCACTATACCCATCAACAGGTTTAACATTCTTATTTGTTGAAAATCGTCTCATTGGAGATACTCCACTTTTCAATCGAGAAAGTTACATTAATATAATTTACATGTGATACAACTTGTACAATATGTAACATCCCATTACCAAAAAAATTGGATGACTAATATACCCCTATAACTTCGCAATTAAGATAGATACTAATCAAAATTTGACACGAGGTAAGTATTATTTACCAGTCGAGGACGATTTTG